CTGGAAAGTCTATTATATTCAATAAAATAAAATATGATGATGAAAAGAAGCGAACAACATTGTTAACGACTCTAACGTAGAATACCTGCGTGTGTGTGTGTTTGTGTGTGAAATCGTCCAGAGATACTCACAAAATTTCACAAGTCTGTAAATCGATGACGAGTGCGTGACTTTTTTCTTAACTGAAGAGAAAAAACACACACTTGGAAAACCGTTTGAGCGTAAAAACTCATGTTCCTGAGTAATTTATTGCATTGATTCCATTGTTGTCGATGTGTTTTTTTTTCTCTCTCACTCTTTTTCCATATTGAAGAAAGCAAACACTCACTCGGGATTTGGCGATGCAATCAAGTCTCATCAAATGAATTCGATATATATTCAGGAGAATGAGAAAGGAACCAAAAAAAACGGGATTCATTGAATGAATTGCCAAAAAAAAGAAGAACCAACTCGGATGCTCACGTGGGATTTGGCGTTCATAATGTTTCCGCCACAGGCTGAACAATGGAAAATTATTGAAAATATCCTTCATTTTTCAATATTTCCAATGAAAGATGATTTCTCTATTAAGGTGCTTCCCAAGAGAGATTTTTTTTCCTTCTTTTCTTCTACTCGAAAAACGCAAATGGTCACACAGCAATGGTTCGAACCCGGGCAAAAGTCGTTAAAGTAGGTAGAAGCTAAACAATTAAAACTATGCAACAAGTTTTGAGGTCGTAAAAATCGTGAAACATCATTTCGGAATTTGAATAATTTTCTATTTCATCCATTTCGACTGTTCCGAAGAGAATTTTATTGATTCAGAAGTGAATATGTATTCATAACGCCCACGTGAACACCAAATCGAGAAGTAGCTCAACACAACATGAGAATATGTTGTTTTTATCGATAGCTGACCACCGTTAAGCCCCTGAATCAGATTGGAAGTCTAATCAGTGGAGGAAGTCTTTTCAGTGAATGAACAATTTCCATTCACATCACGAATTTTCAATAATGCTCGATTCGCAACCTTTTAGTTGTGAAAGACCCGATTAAAAAGTATGAAAGGCTTATGAATTTCGTTCGTCAAGTAGGGCTGCTTCATTGAATCGATAAATTCGTTTGAAAATCGCATTGAACTATAAAATTAAAACTTGTGCGAGGCTTTGAATGAAATAAAGAACGATGAGAAAAGCGTAAAAAAACGGCTCACGAATAATTGAAACTTGTGACAGAGTCAAATCTTTGTCACTTTCACCATTTGTTTAGCTCTCATTGAAATTTAATTGGATCGCTTCGATTGAATTATTGTTTTTGATGTGTGTTTGTCGATGAGAAAATGACATTCATAAATTAGTTGAAGATTTAACGGCGACTAAAGCCAGTCAAAAAGGTTCCAGTATGCAATTGAGTGTGTATCGCTTTCCCTGAAGTTTGCAACCCACAACTCGGACATTTGTTTCGTCGAAAAATTTATTCTCTAATAGGTTTTGTGAGAGACAGAGATATCATCGCTTTACTTCGGTTGACATGCAGGTGTTGAGTTGAACATATATATTTTTTTCCGTGGTTCCCGTTGATGTTCCAATTTAGGCAATGAATGTTCATTCTTTGTGGCAATCCGATTCGCTTTGGTCAGCCCATTTCCATTTCGGTAGAGAGAGAGAGAGAGAGAGAGAGAGAGAGAAAACAACAACAACAACGACCAAGTTCTAAATTAATTTTCAAGTAATTTCGATGTCGACCGATGTTTATTTCAGTGCGGAATTGATTTGTAGGTGGCCGAAAACATATTGTCATTTTTGGTCTGTTTTTGGGTTTTCTCGCAGAGTAAGAGAGATAGAGAGATAGAAAGATTGTGAATTTGACGTGAAAGATAATCGAGAAAATGCACAACTGAAATGACCAAATAATATATATTCATGATCATCAATTGACCGAAAACATGCCATCTAAATATTTTCGATGGATTTTCTAACATCGTTCTTTTTTTTCGTCTACTTTTGGTTCGAGCTACAAAATGATAGGAATAATAAACGCAACACGGTCCAAAATGTCAAAATACCAGTACATTCTTTTATTCATTTCCCAAATTTTATACGATTTTCAACCAAAAATGAAAAAAAAAAAAGAGAAGAAAAATTCATCCAAAGTGATACATGGATTATGTGGAAGCCCAACAAAAGCGACCATAACAAAAAAGCGACAGAAAATAGACACGCAGAGAGAGAGAGAGAGTCTCCACTCCGAGCAACAACGCAACACACAGAAGAAAAAAAAATGATACAAAATTTATGACGGTGCACATAATTCAACGGTAATTCAATCGAACCTGTACTAATGTAAATAAAACATGATCGAGATCGATTCAAAGATATAGACTTATATGTGTATTGTGTATCGAAAGATGTATGATATTCACTTCATAACTGAACAATCGATACGGGAATGCATGTGTGCGCGCGCGCCACCGCATTCTACTCAGAATCAATCTTTCGAAATTGGACGCGAACAAAAGGAAGAGAACAACTACAACAGCAGCAAGCAGCAACAATAAAGTGAGCAAAGAAACCGTGCAAAGACCTGAGGGACAAACGGGAACAACAGAATGAGAATGAGAGAGAGAGAGAGAGAGAGAGAAATGAATTCGAACCGATGAAGATGTTAATGTTCGTTTGTGACGATGAATTTTGAATTATTCAGTGGGCAGTTACTGTTGTTGATCTATTGCATTGCATCTTTATGTACGCGCGCGCGTCTGTGTCATTGCGACGGGCGATGAACAACCGAACAGCCCAACAATAGCATTCTATTCATTTTTATTAGTGCTTGCATGTCAACAAGCCGCTAACATCTTCATTTTTCATTGATGACACTATCGCAGCGCGGAGATCAACTGGCGAGCGAGAGCGCACAAATGTGAATGTGAATGGTAATGCCAAATTCCAACCGCATTGTAACATAGTTATAGCAAAAGTCAACAATTTGACATTCACTGACAACTTTGAAGCTTCTGCATTCGCCTGATGAAGGTGAAGCCCGTTTGAAAGAAGATTTGCCGCCGGTTTCGTTCTCTTTTATTCACGTCTTGTTCGCTGCTGTCGAAATTGATATCCGTTTAGATATTTAGCACATTAGCTGAGCGACGCAGATTTTGTTGGAATCAATTGAACATTCGCTAGTTGAAAAAGGTTTGACGCGTTTGGGAATTCACACGAAAGATTTATTTGGCCACAAAAAAAAGCGTATGCCATAAGCTAAAAAGTACGATTCCAGACGGTTTTTTTTTCTTTTAGCAGAATAGCCAGAATAGCAATTTTGTTGTTGGTATATCGAAAATTTTGGGTGAAACTGCAGAGTCGAAAAATATTTTGGATTTGAATATCAGAAAGGATCTGAAAATTCTAAGAATGAATTCGACTTCAATTTTCAAAATTGAACTCAATGTTTCAGCACAAATTGGATGATTCATCGAGATATATGACAAGTACATGTCATTTAATCATGTTAAATTGCAATTTACAAGATAATCTATCGATTGATTCTAAATAGGAAGCGTGTGCTCATGTTGAGCTCATTTGAAAGTAGGTGAAGTTAATGTACCGAAAAGGTGAGTGAAGCGAAGGAAATAGGCAGCCGACAAAGAGTTCTTTTTTTGTGGATTTCATTCAGCTGCTTGCTCTTTTCATATTCTCCCTCTGCACGTCTCAATCTCGTTTCACTGTTCTTTCCTCGAAATTCGTTGGGATTGACCATTTTGTATATTTGTTTTATTTTTGTAAAAAAAAAATTTCTTACCTTGTGCCGAAATATGTTTTCTATACACCCATATCGAGCACCATAATTTCAGTACAAATGTTTTCGATTTTCATTTTTGTGTGTTATGTTTTTTTCTCTCTCTCTTAAAAACGATTATCGTTTCCCGCCCCGCTTTCAACTCGATCTTTATTTTATTTTTCTCATCTGACTATGGATGCATTTTGTTTGCACCGAGAGCGAAAGAGAGAGGGTAATCTCTATGCTATGCACACCATTCTCTCTTTCAGTTGCACTTTGTTGTGCATTTCGACTGCTCATTCGCACACACCGACAATGAGTTGTGTGTGTCATTTTGTGTTCTGTGTTTAAAGAATATATGGTCTGAAAGCGATCGGTATTTCATGGATATGAATCGTTGTTTTTTTTTTCTCTCTTCTCTCTCCGGTCGTCTTGCTGGGCTATTTGGTAACCTAAATGTGTTAAAATATTCTTCACATAGTGTGGTAATGCTATTTTTATACACGAACCAAACACAACCGAGAGAGAAAAAAACACGAAAGAAATATAAATGTCAATTTTCGATAATCCGGAACGAAATGTGGAAAATTCATTATATTGTTTGATGCTCTTTATATTTCAACTGCTAACCGGCATCACCTTTTGTGCATCGTAATAATCGTTTTATCTTTTCGTTTGTACTCTCTCCGTCTCTATCCCTCTCTCGCTGTGTGTGTGTGTGTTTTTTTTTCTCCTTATTTGTGACTGTTGTCGATGAGCATCGGTTTTTTGTTGTTGTTGTTGTTGTCTTCAACTCCAACTAGAATTGTTAACTAGAAAACAATTATTGAATTTCTTCTCTGGTATTTTTTCCCTTTTTAATCGTTCGTTCGTTCGGCATTTCAAACCATTGACCGTTTCATAGATCATGCGCCCAAGCAGACAAATCGTGAAACGGCTCAAACCCATTTGCTAATCATCTTCGAACAAACAACAAACATGCCGGTATCTGAACATTACCACCGCGTCGACGACTCGACCATTTTTATCTTTTCGATTTTCTATCGTAATCTTTTTCATTTACAACTATTGTCTCGTCTCTCGTATCAATGTTTCTGCTCTGAGCACATAGCACTTTCAATTGATTTCTTTTTTCATCGATTTCCGAAAACGAATGCGGGAAAAAAATAATCAAAATGATGAAAACAGATCGAGATGGTGGAGGAAAAAAATGAAGCATGAAAAATATACACGGATCTACTTACGTGAAGTCACTGGATCGTCGTTGGCTACAACTTTTCCTTCGTGTATCCCAACAAACCTGTTTGCACATTTTGAATATAAATGGACCTGTTCTCGGCTGCAAAGTGATCCCGCAATCACCACCTGGATAAGACAAAATTGGCAAAGGGAAAACATGGCGAATTAATTAAAATTGGACGAATTAATGAGAGAAACTCGAAAAAAAAAGAAATTGAAAAAATATGTTTGTGAAAACAAAAGCAAATTTTTCTGTATTTGCTTGAGTTTCGTGTGATTTGCGTTAAGTGTGATGTTTCACACGTCAATTGCGGCTCATACGCATGACACGTAATCAAAGTGGGAAATATCCTGCTGGCTTTTGGCTGGCGAATCGATTGAAACTGACCTCAATCTCAAGCTCGTCGGTGAATGCGTTTTCGACTGTCTTTCAATTTCAACTGAAAAATTAACTTCACATTTAATTTGAAGTTTAACTCGAAATTCAACTGAAGGGACGTTCAACTCCTGTGTGTATTGTTTTTATGTTGAAAATGTTTAACATTTGAACAACAAATCGCAAAAAAGATTGCGAGAAGAAAAAAAACAAACATTGGCAAAATGACAGCTTCAAAGCTCGACTTTGACTGGATAACTGAGGTGAGCGGGAAATGAGGAAGTGTTGATAAAAGCAAGCAAAATGAATGGGGCGCACTCTGTGATTACAACAAGTGATGCAATCCGTTGATTGCATGTTATTGTCGAATTTTTGTGAATTCTCTTCATCGCCGTCGCCGTCATCGTCATCGACGACGTCAAATTGAAAAACTATTTGGGATTTCGTGTTTTGTTTGTTTGCCTTTTACTTTGGCTCCGTGGTCGTGCACGCATTTTTTATGGAATGCGTCGTTAATTTCAAATTCACGCATTTTGGCATTTATTATTTTCGAGCATGCATCATGATTTGTTTGGTTTCTTTGTTTTTTTCCATTGGAACTGAAATCGGAAAGTTATGCTGTCTTTCACCGTGCTGAGCCGTAAAACAAAGGAGATCGAACGGCGAATTTGTGTTTAATTGGAAAAGGTGCGCGCAAGTGTGATATACAGTGAAGGAATTTGTTTTTTTGTTCGAGAGAGAGAGAGGGAGAGAGAGAGAGAGAGAGAGAGAGAGAGAGGGGAAGAAAGAAGAAATCCATCGCCTACGTTGCAAATCGTACGGTAAAGATTTTTTCGTTTGCTTTTCGTTTTGCACACACGAATTGGCGCGTACAATTGGCTCAATATGAATTCTTGGGCCCGATCGACACATTGGCTGTAATGCACAATTTGATGGAGCATGAAATTATACCAAGTCGCACACCAACAACAACAGCAACTGCTGCAAAACTCTCCCTGGCACCACAGTAGAGTAACACATTCTCTAATCTGATATTCAAATCGCAACAACGACACAAACCACAAAACGAACAAACGCCTCGACGACGATCCAACGAACAAACGAACGAACAAAAAAAAAAGTCTTCATCACGAATAATACATTATCTCGCACTCAGTCTCCTAATTTACAATAGCCTGTTTGAGCGGTGATGAGCGCGAGCGTGCGCGCGCGGCATGTTAAATGGCATGTATATTGCTCATATAACACACTTAAGATATTGGATTAAACGACTGGAACGAGGCTCTGAACACCACATTTATATCTTTCTCTCGATATGAAGAGAGCGAGAGAGAGAGAGAGAGAGAGAGAAGCGAGTGAAAAAAAAACTTTGATGATCACAAACGCATCCGAGAATCAGCTTAATCGCATCTTTTGCGCAATGGTATATAAAAAAGACAACAAGCAGCAGCAACACCAATAACAATGAATGCAACAACAGCGGAAAAAACGAAAATGCTCATGCGCTTTTGTGCGCGCGCGCGCTCTCTCTCTCCTTCTCTGGCTTAAGCTTGTGTGCAACATTCGATTTAGATTACCGGAGTGCCAACATGATAAAGCAAAGAAATCATCAGACAACGGCGACGACACACAACGACACAAACTCACCGCGAGCAAACCAAGAGCGACGAGCGAGCGCAGAGAGCGAGAACTTGGCATTGCAAAGAGCGTGATGCTTGATGTTAATTTCATATTACTAATTTGAGGCGCCAAACTGTTGTTTATATCACTTCATTTTCGTATCATTTTTTTTTTGCTCGTTCGTTCGTTCATGCTCTTTCTTTTTTCCCTCGACGTGTTTCGTTTTTTTTATTTTGTTTCGTGTATGTGCAAGTTCCTCATTTTAACGAATTCTCATCTTGCCGTTTTGTGCTTCTCGTGTTGTTCTTTTTTTTCGATATCTCCCTTTCTCTCTCTGGCTCAGTGTCCTCTCTCTGCAAATAAATTCATATCGACTGCAGAGCATTTGTTACAATCGGCCAATTTTCGATTCGTTATATTGAGTTCGCACTATCGTCGTCTATCAAACATTCGACACAACAGCGGAGAAAAACGACGACGACGACGAATACGAATTCGATATAAAATGCGGTAGACTTGAATCATGCTGAATTCGAATGGAACGAAACAAAAAGAAGGAAATTACCCGGAATGAAGAGGAACAAATTATGAAAATGCAGATTAGAATCATTGTAAATGCGGCTGCAGCCGAATTCGACGAGCATCGTCCGGGGCTTCACATACGCTCGAGCGTTATAATGAATGCATTCTCATTTTCAGTTAAATAAATAAAACCAGAGAAAGAATCATACGAAATGCGATTGAATTAATTATCACTCAATTTATATTCGCCGACGGTTTTTTTCTTCTTCTCGAAACGAAACTAATCTAGGGGTTGAACCATTGATAATTTGCGCTTGAATCAGTTCGTGTTTTTTCACTCTTGTTTCGGTAAAACGTGTTTATTCAATTTGATCAAAATAAGTTTGGGAGTTTTTGTCGATTCGATTAATTTTTTGCTTGTCGTTGCCCCTGGGCCTTCGATTCGCTGCTCCACACACAATTTCACAGATATAATTCATATAATCCGCCGCAGTGAAGAACTCCTCTACCTCGGTGAACAAGAGAGAGAGAGAGAGAGAGAGAGAGAGAGAGAGAGCAAGAGGAACATATTCATCAAATTGGATTGCGTGTTAATGCATCGATCCCAGGCTCGAGAGATCGAACTCCTTTTTTCCCTGCATTTTATTCCGTTGTTTCCATTTTTTTTTGTGCTGGGCTGAATCATATCGAACGTCTCTCCCGGCAAAAGATCGGAAAGTGTGTTATATGCGATTAAATAGTGCCAAAGAATTGCAACTGTTTGACACGAATGTGCTCTTTTACTGCCAATAAATTGTCGCTTTTTCGCTCTCTCTCTCTCCATCGTTTCATTTCGTTTTTTTTGCTTTTTCGAATCCATGAAAACAGTGGCGAAACCTTCGATCGCAGACTTTGATTCAATGTTGGCGAAGCAGAAATGGATTTTCATAGGAAGAACAGCAAATTGAAACTGTAATTTATTTGAATCGTTTTGAATGCTTTCGTAAGCGATTTACAAAGATTCAAAGGCAGTTTACTAAGAGAACAATGCATTGTTTGGGCATGCTGAGTTTCTGATTAAAATGAATGTGAAATTGGCCCATTTGAATTCGTCAGTCGCTAAATTAGGTGATTTCATATAGTGAAAAATGTGCGGCCACACGTTATCTCTCACCAATTCGATTTAGATTGTCCACGATGTGAACATGCGATGAGTTGCAAGCGAGTGAACGAACGCAATCTGTGCAACAAGAAATTGATCCATAAATTCACATTTCAATTATTCTCCCGTGTGCTGCTGGCTCTTGTGCAGAGAACATAATTATGATTGGTGATAAATAAAAACAATAAAAAAGATGCTGATGTCAAGGCGAGCAGAGACATCGCAAAAGCACATCAACGTCGTTGTCGTTGTCGATGCTGACGACGATGGCAAAGAAGTGGTTTTTAGCAAAGTAAACACGCTTGGAAAAGAAAAGAAATAATATTTTGACCTAATCTTACGTAAAGCAGCCAATCTACCGAAGAAGAAGAAGCGAAAAAAGTCATCATCGACAAGAACACATGAATTAACTGGAAATAATAAAAAAAGGTGACAAAAAAGAAGCTTACGACATTTCTAGCTTCTCATCGTCATAGCTGTGCAGAAATATAGAAGAAAAAAACCGCAGTACAAACTGACTCTTCAACACAAGAAAAGAGTAATGATTGAATAAACACAAACGGAAGAGACGGAAAGGACGGTACGAGACGGAAGAAGAAACGAAAAATTGAAGAAGAAAAAAAAAACTGGAAAAAGAAGAAATAATACTGCTCACTGCATGTCGAACAGAATGTCGTCGCCAATAAATGTATACAAAACAGTACATGATGCATCGCAACCGTGTGCACACCGCGCGCGCAAACAGAAAAGAAGCAAAAAAAAAAACAAATCATAAAAGAGCACCACTGAGCAGATATGAACGAGAAACGACGACGACGATGACAGAGTCCGAAGACCGAACGAGGGAGAGAGAGAGAGCAGCGGCAGGCCATCGGTAATGATAAAATTGACAACTACCGATACACCAGATGTCCATAATGCCAATGAGTGAATTTATCAAAAAAAAATATGCCTTTTAATCGCGCATGAATAATAATCACTACAATAACTATTGAAATAAAATCACACTCTCTCATCGCTGTTCTCGCGCCGAGACTTCGAGAGCGCACATATCGACGATGGCACATAGTTGGCCGTTTAGTGTTTATGCACACATTTCGATGCGACAATGTTTCAATCGCGATTGCCGTTAAATAGCAGGCGCAGTGAAATGCGCTCTTGCTTGCTTGGACGCGCGCGCTCTCTGCGCACACACACCTGCGAGGTTTTTCCAACGCCAATTACTATTTATAGTTAATATTTTCGTTGTATAATGGATATTTTCATTGGTTTTATGTATTAATATCAACAAAGTGTTGTGGTTCGGTGGCAGCGACTGGGCTGCTGGTGTCGTTCGAGTCGACGATGCTGTGTGTCGTACGGTAATGGTCTCTATCTTTATCAAAATGCACGTTCGCTGCGATACAATGACACGACCAACGACTGTATCAAAAGTAGGCTTCAACTGAATTGAGTATATAGTAAAGC